ATATAATAATAATTAAAAAATATAATAATAATTAAAAAATATAATAATAATTAAAAAATATAATAATAATTAAAAAATATAATAATAATTAAAAAATATAATAATAATTAAAAAATATAATAATAATTAAAAAATATAATAATAATTAAAAAAATATAATAATATTAAAATTTATTAATAAATTATAATAAAATATGAGCTTTTTTATATAATTTTATTATTTTTTATTTTTATATAAAATATAAAAAATAATTTATATTTAATATATAATAACAATAAAAATAATGCAACAATATTAAAATTTATTAATTAAATATAGTAAAATATGAATTTTTTTCTTTGTATAATAGTTTTCAATTTTACTAATCAATATTTTTAATTTTATATTAAAATAAAGATAATATTATATATTTTAACATATAGTAGCAATCAAAAAGAATGGAACACAAACAAATTTATTAATAAAACATAGTAAAAATATGAAAAATATAAGTTTTTCTCTTTATATAAAAGTTTTCAATTTTAATAAAACTTTTTGTTTTTATTTATTTGTAAAAGAATTTTATTATATATAATAATTTTATTATTTTATAATATATATTATAAACTGTTATGAATAAGAAAGCGCCATTTTATTGCAATCCAAAAATAGCAATCATAATAATAAATTAACATTACAAAATTTAAATTACAAAATTACTTTAAATGATGATAGTTTTAAATTTTGAAAAAATGTCAAAAATAAGTATCACCCCATTTTTTAAACTCAAAAAGTGGTGCTTATTCACGAAAATTTATGGTAATAACTCTCTTTATAATATATTAAAAAATTTGATAGTAACAAATTTTCAAAAATCTACTATTATAAAGAGGATTCGTTATAAAAACATGATTATGTATCGTTTTAAATTTCAATTTATTATATTTTTTAAATTTGTTATATTTCATTAAATTATTAATGAAAATTATTTATTTATAAGCTAATACTTGTTACTTTTCTTACTATATTTTTTTTGGTTATTGGATACTTTTTTTATTACACTATTCCCAGATAGTGTTTAAATTCAATTTTTAAACTGCGGAATTTCCCTGCAGATTGAATCAACATTAAGTGTGTAACATGCTGAAAATTTTCGAAATCCACAGATATCTGAAAAAATTTACTTGCAGAACCAATTCTTAATTTGCGCACCGTAAATTCCGCAGATAGATTTTAAAGCCTGATCCTTAAGATTTCAGCATTGCAAATATTGGATGCCGCAGAAAATGTGGACTTTACTAAGAATTCAAAGATTATCCTTACTGTCAGGGAAGAATGTCGATTTTAAATTTTTTGTTGGTAATTTGAATCAGGAACCCTTGAAACTTCTGCGGCGACAACTTACATTACCAAATATAATAAAGTATTGATCAAATCAACCAATCATAATTTGCGTTACATGTATAAAATTTTGTGTCGAACTTGATTCAACATCTAACAATATTTATAGCCAATTCAATATGGCCTCGCCTGTGAATGTAGAACAACCTAGCCGAATCGATGGCAAGTCTCAAGGAAATAAGTCAGAAAAGAAGAAATCAAAGACCTCAAAAGACGTGGGTGAAAACTCTTATCCTTTAGAGGTAAAATCTATTTTACTGTTTGATTTTCTATAAATTCAGAATTTACTAAAAAAAGGCTTTTGTGCTTGCAGTTAAATCCCCCTCCAGAATACATTTCATTTCGTATCAAATTATTTGAGCAATGGAAAGCTGAGTATGATGAAGAGATAAAAAGTAAGCAGGAGTATATTATACAAGAATTCAACCCATAGAAGAGAACAGAATTAGGCTGTAATACCGGTTTTTGTCAATAGATAAACCACGTGTACCTATTACTGTTACTTTACCCGATGGCCAAACTAAGCCAGCTGTTTCTTGGGAGTCTAGTCCTTTAGACATTGCAAAAGAGATATCAAAATCTCTTGCCGATCGCATCGTTATAGCTAAGGTATTATTTGTCTATGCATTCCGTGTATACTTCAGATACATACAATATTAATATTCGAAGTTGTGATTTAGGTCAACGGGACTCTATGGGACCTTGGTAGACCTCTCGAGGAAGATTGTAAACTCGAACTATTAGATTTTGATAATGATGAAGGTTCAAATTTGACTTCTTTGAATTGAATTAGCTAATAACCTTGTATCTTTTTCATTAATTTTCTAATTTTTGATTCAATAAATAAAGGCAAAAAGGTGTTTTGGCATTCTAGTGCACACGTTCTTGGTGAGGCTTGTGAACGTCATTATGGTGGTCATCTTTGTATTGGACCACCATTAGATGATGGAGGCTTTTACTATGAGATGGGAATCAAGGAACGGTATGTATTCTTTTCATTATAATTATTTTATTTAATTAAACAGTAACATTTGATACCATTTATTAAGCGTTGTGAATCAGGCTGATTATCCTGCACTCGAAACCATCGCCAAAAGTGCGATAAAAGAGAAACAGCCATTTGAACGATTATTAATCTCCAAAGAAAATCTATTAGAGATGTTCAAGGTATTTTCAAATTGCATTTTTCCCGAGAAAATTATACATAAATTCTTACTCTTAAAACAATTATATTAGTATAATCCGTATAAAGTTCATATAATAAAAGATAAAATACCGGATGGCACATCCACCACTGTTTATCGTTGTGGTCCCTTAATTGATCTATGTATAGGCCCTCATGTGCCGCACACTGGTAGAATTAAAGCATTTACGGTCACAAAGGTGATTTCTATTAATTATTAATTCTAATATAAATACTAATCTTAATATATATATATATATATATATATATATATAGAATTCGGCATCTTATTTCCTTGGTGATGCGAAGAATGATTCTTTGCAGCGCATTTATGGAATTTCATTCCCGGATTCTAAACAAATGACCGAATATAAAAAGTTTATCGAAGAAGCAGCAAAACGTGACCATAGAAAAATTGGTCAGGTATTATTATAATATTTTTTAATAAAAACAAGGGGATATTCTTTGAATCTTTATCTTTTATTGAAATTAAAGTATATTTAAACATTAGGAACAAGATTTATTTTTCTTCAATCCTGAATATAGTCCGGGAAGCTGCTTTTTCCTTCCTAATGGTACACGAATTTATAACACCTTGATTGACTTCATTAAAGTAGGTTCTGTTCCTATTGCGTGGCTTCCTTCTTTTCTATTTATATCAAATTACCTATAATCTTAGGAAGAATACCGAAAACGTGGTTTTACAGAAGTAATCTCTCCAAATATATATAATACTAAATTATGGGAAGAATCAGGTCATTGGCAAAATTATTCGGTATGTAATAATGATTTTAGTGGAATAACTTATTATTTAAATTATCTGATGACCATCTATTATATAGGAAAATATGTTTTCTTTTGAAGTAGAAAAAGAGAAATTTGCATTGAAACCTATGAACTGCCCTGGTCACTGTCTAATGTTTAAACATCGAGAGCGCTCCTATCGTGAACTGCCAATGCGTCTAGCAGACTTTGGAGTTTTACATCGTAATGAATTGAGTGGAGCTTTAACAGGTTTGACTCGTGTCAGGCGTTTCCAACAGGATGATGCACACATATTTTGTCGACCAGATCAGGTAAGAGTTTGCTCTTTTAATTATCATGTACGAGTTCATTGCACAGTGTTAATAGTAAATTTATTTGAATAGGTTCAAGAAGAAATTGCTGCTTCACTTGATTTCCTTAAACATGTATATGGAATATTTGGTTTCACTTTTCAATTGAAACTTTCCACTCGCCCTGAAAAATATTTGGGTTCTATTGAAGTTTGGGATCGGGCAGAAAAGGTTCTTACTTTTTCACTCTAATTTCATACAAATATATAATTTCTCTATTTAAGTAAAATCATTTTCTATTTATAGAAATTAGAAGAAGCTCTTAAAGAGTTCGGTTCACCATGGGAATTTAATCCTGGTGATGGCGCATTCTACGGTCCAAAGGTAAATTAATATAGCTTAAACCATCATTCTTTAATTTTAATCAGGTTTACATAAATACATTAATATTATTCAGATTGATATCACAATATCAGATGCGCTCAGAAGAAAGCACCAATGTGCTACACTTCAATTGGACTTTCAATTACCAGAACGATTTAAACTTGAATATCACTCCAACACAATTGATGATGCCCAGAGTGCTTATAGTCGCCCTGTGATGATTCATCGTGCTATTTTGGGTTCTGTTGAACGAATGATTGCTATTTTGACAGAAAATTTTGGTGGAAAATGGTAAATATAACATTAAATTACATCTTGATATTTTTGTAAAGTATTTATATTAACATAACCATCAATTGTAGGCCATTTTGGTTATCACCACGTCAGATTATTGTTATTCCTGTTGCCAACACGTTCGGCAACTATGTGAAAAAAGTAACTGATGCATGCTTTGAGGCAGGATTTTATGTCGATGCAGATTTAGGAGAAAATACTCTTAATAAAAAAGTCCGTAATGCTGAAATTGCTCAATATAATTTTATTTTCAGTAAGTACGAGATTTTATTAATTTAGCTCGAAAGCCAGTCTTAATCGAATTTTAACAATGATTATTTTCCCTTCATTATGAACGTAATTTAATAGTCGTGGGTGCAGAAGAGGAGAACACGAATTCTGTAAATATTCGAAATCGTGATGAAAGTGTTAAGGGTAAGACTCAAACTATTCCATTAGAGGAAGCTATCGCCAAATTGACTGCCCTAATGAAAGAAAGGCGGTTAGAAAACAAAATCTAGTGATAATTTATCACCCAAATTAATCAATTCAAGTATACCAGTTTAAAAGTGTTATTTGCATAAATTGCGAAAATGGCGCTATATACCACTTATATCTGGATTTTTAAACCCAGTTTGTATTAATATAATATAAAATATTTCTTGACAAGTCCCGAATTACGCGAGGTGTATCACGACATGAAAGAAGTCGTAAATATGATAACAGCAAGTTGTACTTGCATGAATTTAATCCCGCAGCATATCTTTTTGCGTGACAAAACCGCTCTATTCATGTGTTTATTATCTAAGACATAATTAACACTAAAAATCTTTTGCTTTGTACATTATTATTGAAACATCAAATTGATCGATATATACTTGCGATCTTGATAAAAAATGAGAAAAGCTAAAAAGTATACACTGAAAGGAAGATGGTGAACGATTATGTTTTTATATAATTCAACTAGATTAAATTTCTAATTGCTTTATTTATCAATTAAATTTAATACGTTGCTTTTTTTTCGAGAACTTGTCGATTACTATCGATACTTGTCTCGTATAATTTTACAATTCCTGATTTTGATTACGATGAATTGGAGGTTTTACTTTCTTTGACGGCGGCAATTATATTGTTTGGCTGGCTTGCTTCATACCGATGCAAAACCTGGGTTTCGCATTCTGGAATTTTACGACGAAAGATATTGTTGACATGATCCTGCATACCGATGCAAAACCTGGGTTCGCATTCTAGAATTTTACGACGAAAGATATTGTTGACATTGATCCTGCATAAAAAAAGACACATAAATGTTTTGCTGTGAAAAACACATCAGTTCAATATATATTATCAAAAATTCATCTTTTACCGAAATTCATTTTTGTTTTGGACATAGAAGTGAAAATCGTTTTTGTTTTGGACGGAGAAGTGGCGAACATTTTTTGTAGAATATAGTTCATAAAATTAAAGTTTGTTACCAAGTTCTTTCGGAAATGACCCCCATTTCAGAAAGTGGTAACCGTGGAATAAACTCCACTATGCGTAAGTCAGAAAAATATATCCGGACTATTTTTCGTATTCAAAATAAATATTGCAAATATTACAATATTATGTGGAAAAGAAATGAAGAATAGACTACATATTTTGGTGATTTATTTGTTGTAGCAATTGATTTATTCTTCGAGGAAATGTCCAGGAATAAGCACCATTTTTTGGTGCTTATTCCAAATACAGCCTTCGATAAATGTTGGTTTGTTAATAAAGTGTATGTATATAAGAGAGAATAGTATTCATTATAATAAATTAAAGAAAGACATGGTAGGAACAATAAATTTCAAGGAGTTTTATTAAAGGAGAAAGGAGTTTTATTATTAGCGTTAGAGAAAAAAAAGAAAAGAAAGCTTCTCGTTCGATATAAATATACTAGAAGATGAGGGGGTGTAGTGGGTTTAAGAGATGAATCTGTTTACATGTCCAACTTGTTTTTTACCTGTTGCTTTCCACAGCCACTTAACACCAGACACAACCAGCTTTTCAGCACATCAGTCACTTTCACGAATTCAGTGCAGGGACCCGGAAAAAATTAGGTCGAGAAAAATTTCGTTTGTTTCGATGCATAATTTTGGCCAGCGTTAAGAAATTAAACCATAATTCTGGTCAAAGCACGTGATAAATGTATGATTTGAAATCAGAAAATCTTATCAAGAACCAATCCAAATCAGTGTAGATCACGTGTTAGTATCCGGCTTTTGAAAAGTCGATTTCTTGTTTTATACATGTGATTAGAGTAAAATTTTTCTGGGCCCTGATTCAGTGTAACTAGAGTGTTCATGCAGAATCGGGTGTGGCCTACGGTCCACCCTCGCCAGTTACTATGATATTTATTCATTACTATAACATTCAAAGCTGATACGACCTGTTAGTATGTCCAGTTTATTACACATACAGAATTGCGGCAGACTTGCAGAATTCACAGAATCGGCGTGACATATGTCAAAATGATACTTTAGGACTTACTTCCTATTGACGATTATAAAATTGTGGAATTGTCGGTTTCTACATTTGACGTATTCAAGTATTTTATTGGTCAAGTGATCATTACACATGCAGTAAGCTGGACCAATGGACTTTGGTCCATGTTCCATTGCAGCTTGCATATATCTTCAATTGTCAATGGACTTGGTCTATTATGAGGTAACTACTATCCTGTACTATTTCGTTCATTGTACTGAACTGTATTTGAAACGGATTAGGGTATGGAGCACAAACTGTCTTGTTTATTGCGCTGTATGTATTTAGATAAAACTTTAATAACCTGTATTTCGAACTCATATCCTAAACCTTTTCCAATATAATACAGTACAATGAATGAAATAGAACAGCAGTTTTCTCGAGTGTGGGTTCGGGATATAATCTTAAAGATTTATCTAAATACAATACAATAAACAAGACAATATAGTATAGTTTAACCCGTTTATTAGTTCTCATTAGAAGATCAGGTCCAATGATTGTATTGAATTAATATGATCAAGCATTCATAACGATAGTTTTTCTCTTATTATGACATTATATTAATGTTAAATTGTATAAGTATCACGAAATTTAAATTACAAAAATATATTTAAAATCGCTTTAAATAATAATAAGAAAATATCTAGAAATAAATATCATCCTATTTTTTAGAATTCAAAAAGCGGTGTTTATTTTTAGCAGTTTATGATGTATAAAATTTTTAAAAATTATTAATTTTTATTTTTTTTTAATAATAATTAGTTATTAAACTATTTTCAAATTCAAGTAAAATTTTAATTTGAAATAATAATAATATTAATATCTTTTTAATTAAAAATATAAATTATTCAATCAAAAAATTATAGAAAAATTTGCTATTAAATTTTCAAAATACTAGTAAAAAAGCTTTTTTAATAAATTATTAATTAATAAATTATATTTATTTTTTGTAATATATTTAAATATTTTATATTATAAAAATATTTTATTAATTGAAATTAAATTAAAAAAATTAATTATACTATTATATAAAATATAATACTAAAAATTATAACTTAATAATAAAATAAATTATTTGTAAAATTTTTTAATACTTTACAAAAATAAAATTTAGAAAAATAAAACAAGTTTTATTAAATTATCAATCAAATTTTCAAAAAAATTATAAATATAATAACTTATAAAAGTAATATATTACTTTCAAAATTTACTAATAAAATATTTCTCTTTATATAAAAGTTTCAATTTTATTAATTAAAATTTTTTATTTTTATATAAAAATACAAATAATAATTTATATTTTAATATATATATTTTCAAATTTTTTATATTTAATCTAAGTAAATTAATATCTTTTAATTATAAAAATTAATCAACTTATTTTGTAATTAAATTAAATATAAAATTTTTTAAAAAAATATATAGTAACTTATAAAAAAATAAATATTATAAAAATTTATTAATAAAATATAATAAAATATAGATTTTTTATATAAAAGTTTTCAATTTTACTAATTAATATATTTTATTTTTCTATAAAAATACAAATAATAATTCATATTTTAATATATTGTTATAATATGAATTTTTACTATATTAATTATTTATATTTTATTAAATAATTTATATCATAATATTATTAAATAATATCTTATTAAACACTAGCTAGAAAAGTTCTTATTTATTAATATTAGATAATAAAATAAAAGTAATATGATTATAATAAAATTAATTTAATAATTTTAGCAAAATTAGCATATAGATTATAGCTAAATTAACAATATGAATATAACAAAAATAGCAATATAATACTGTTATAATTTGATATTTTTTGTATTTAATTTTATATAATTTTATATATTATTATATTAGTATTTAAAATAATATTATTGAATAATTATATTAATAATTAGTATTTGAAATTCAATTTGAATTTTAGTTTGAATTTCAATTTGAATTTCAGTTTGAAATTCAATTCAATTTATAATTTTATTAAATATTTAGTTTTTATAATTTATTTATAAATATAGCATATATCTTAGCTTATAATTAGAATAAGTTAAACAAGTTTGAAGTTTAGAAGTTAAACTCATCTTTTATTATATATTTCTTTCTTACTTTTAATTAGTTTTATAATTTCTCATCTTAATTGCAAAGTTATTATTATTATTTAATTTATAATCTCTCATTATTACTACAAAGTTATATTTTTTATAATATTTAAAATTAATTTCTTATTTATATTAGCAAAATTAATAATATATAATTGAATTAATAAAAGAAATTATATTTAACTTGTTTATAAATTAATTATTAAAAAAATATAATTATCTTTGAATATTCTAATATTATTATAGCTAACCAACAAATGAATATATATTATTTATCTTTGAATATTCATATTCTTTCTCATATTTGAAGTTATATTTTATAAATTCTTCACTAATTTAATATTATATATTATTCATATAATCTCCTATAATAAAGCTTAAAACTATATAAAATAATAACAAAATTTGATATTCTTTCTGTGAAAAAGAAAAATTCAAAGATATTAAAAAAATAAATAAATTAGTAAATGAATTTTTTGTAGATAAATCACTTAAGTTAATAAATCAAATTGAATTCAACACAATTAATCAATATTAAAATAAATTAATTATTTGAAGAATTGAGAGACAAAGTTAATTTAAAAGAAACTTTAATAAAAAATAACTCAAAAAAATAAAACAATAAATAACTGGAATAATTGGTAAAAGCTATTTAGAAAATACAATTACCAAATTAATTAACTTATCACATTACTAAAATAATACTTTCAACAAAATAAACAAGAAATTTAAGTATATATATATCATTTGCAACAAGATATTACAAACTTTCTGATACAAGTAAAGCTTATTGAAGATAATAAAAACTTTAAGAACAATTAGCTAAACTCTAGAATTCAGAAAATTAAATTATAATTCAAAATTCCTGTAAAAAAATAAAAGAAAATAATCAAAAAAAGGTT